GTGTTAGATGAAAGGATCAGTGCAGTTTGTAGAGCCCAGAGCTTCCAGGCCACAGAGGGACATATGGACAAATTACTGTTACAAAGGAGGAAAGGTATTGTTATAATGGAATGTGAAAAGGACACAGGGAAAATACCATCTTCCCCAGTCTACCTGTGGGGCAGAGGAGTCAGGGAAGATGTAGGTGGTCAGGCATTGCCCAAGCCAGAACCCGAATGACATCAGGATTTTCCTAAGTAGATTCCAGGAGGAAAGGCATTTAAAGAGCTGCACCAGAAAAGGACCTACAAGGAAACAAAGCTGGTTGCCCACCCACCCGGCCTATGCTGATCTCTAGACCCTTGTCCTCCCAAAGGCATTGCTCAATCCCCTGGGAACTTATCAAAAATGCAGAGTCTCAGGCTCCCAGACCTTCTGAATCAGAACTTTCATTTTAACGGGATCTCCTTGTGTTGTGTATGCAGATCAAGGTCTGATTCCTATTGGATCAGGGAGAGGCCTCCTGGATGGGTTGGGGATGTAGAGGCTGGGGAAGTAGGAAGGTGGCCAATCTGAGGTCCTGAAGTTGGAGCACAGCAGCAATTGTTCCTCAAGTTGTTTTCAGGTTTGACCTGAAAGTCCAAGCCCTGGGGGCCCAGGAAGTTTCCACCAAGGCTTGGAGGGTTGAGGCTTTTCCACCCACTGTGCCCACACCATTGCTTCTGCTGGCCTCTGCTCCAGACAGCCTGTCTTGCCGGCTGGCTCCTTCAGCCAGCACAGCACAGATTACCTAATAGGCTGAAGGCTGTGTGCATAATTTATTCCTGTGAGTAATTGATCACATTAGGATGAGCAAGGGGCAGCACCAGGAAGAGAAGGAAGAGGAGACATCAATAACCAGGGGAGGGGAGGGAGCTCCGGTCAGCTAATCAGACGCCTCGCTGAGCCAGCTCTTTGAACATAATGGTTCATCTTGTGGCTGTTGGTTGACCACAGCCTCCCCTGCTCTCTCTCTCTCTCTCTCTCTCTCTCTCTCTCTCTCTCTCTCTCTCTCTCTCTGTGCGGCTAAGCCTTGAGAGGAGTTAGAGTTAGTGGAAAGAGCTCTAGACTGTCAGGAAACTTGGCTACGAGGTTAGGGGATCTTAGGCAAATCACTGCTCTCTGGGCTGTGGATTTACTGGCTACAAAAAGGAGAGAGAGCTGCTGCTGTGATTCTACACCTGGCTGATATCAGAATCTCCAGAAACACTATTTAAAATAGACTCCAAAGTCACATCTTCTAAATGCTGCTCCAGGAGTCATAGGGTGAGGACAGATACGCTTGCTACAGCAAGCATCTCACATAACTTGGGCATAGCTGGTCTAATGGGCAGTGGGGAACTGGGTTAGAAAGATAACATCTGAGCTCTTGCCCAGCTGACATGTCCAGGTGGTCAGTATGAATGGATTACCCCCTTTTGTGTGCATGTGCGTGTGTGTAAAACTAGGGATTGAACCCGTGGCCTTGCACATACTAGGCAAGTGTTCTCTCACTGGGATACATTCCCAGCCTTCCCAAACTTCTTGTGGGGCATCAGCAGTCCGAAGAGGGGGGGAGGGAAGACAAGAAAGTCAGAAGACTCAACTCCCACATTCTGTCACTGATTCATTACAATTCCTCCCCGAGTGACACATAACTCACCTATATATATACTGGCAAGTATCAGAGTCCTTCTAACGGAGCATCATTTCACTGAATGCAGAGACTCCCAAGCGTGGGGAGATTTAAAATGTGCAGATGCTGGGTCTCCTCACTTCCACACAGATTCTGCTTCAGTACATCTGGGGTAGCTCAGGATGATCTAGGTTTAAAGGCTGCCAGGTAATCCTGAAGGTCAACCAGGTTTGTAAGCTGGTGACCTGCCCAAAGGCATTGCTCAGTGGGACATGGTATCCATGGAAGTAGGGAAGGTCTAGTCCAGGGAGGCCACTGGCATGTTGGCAGGAAGCACAGGCACATCCTCACTCACCTTTCAGCCTTCAGGTGAGCCCAGATGTATCCTGCCAGTGGAATGCTCCGCGGTGTTGCACCAGAACAAAGGGAAGACCTTCCTTACTAACATGGTAACCCTGGGCCAATCATGGGAGCTCCCTGAATCTTTTTGTCTATATAAAGGGACCATAGTAATCCCAACTCCCAGCCCAGTCAGGAGGATTTTGTAGACAACTTAGAGATTGTGCTCTGGGAGTGGCATGTTCAATGCACTTTGCCCACCCGTCCCTACGGCCCTCCAGCCACCTGCACTGGGACCACTGAGAGCCAGCCCAACTGAATGTTACTGTCTCTCATCCAAGGAAAGCAGGACTTGGAGAGGGTCTGCTTTGTATCAGGCCAGGGGGGCCAAAAATCATGCAAGGAAACAGACCCTCGGGTTTTGGTCTAGGAGGTCTTTTCTGGAATCATTCTACTCTGCCCATGGTCTTCTGCCACATACTTTTGTGTTTCCTCTAATCTTTGGGGCCTTGCTTGATATCCCAGTTGGTTAACCAGGGAACCCAACCACAGACGGAAATCTCTTGCACCTGTCACCTTCTCTACACCTGCTGTCTATTTCTCATCCAGCCTGGACTATTGCAGAACCCTCCCAACTGGTCTCCTTGCTTCCATTACTGTCCCCTATGGACACATTCTTCTCACAAAAGCCAGAGAGTCCTTTGATGACATAGATTAGATCATGTATTGCTTTTGACTGACTTCCTGATCTCATAGAATAAATTCTTGCCATATAAGGAGTACCATGGTATGCCTTCTCATTCTCTGAGGATGAAACCTATAATTCTTACTCTGGTGACAAAGACCTTCATAAGCTGGACATCTACTTCTCATTTTGTGGCCATGTTGCCTATCCCTACTTGCCTTGTGAGGCAGAAAAAAAAATTGCTGTATGTTCTAACTTGTTTCATTTTCTTCTTTGGCATTAGCTAAACTCTGTTTCACAGACCCTCTGTAGCAAGGCAGGACCACATACTTGAGTTCTAGCCAATTGACTATGAGTAGAAGTGACGTAGGTCATCTGCAGACTTGACCCCCTAATATCCCAAGAGCCTTTTCACATTGCTCTTGGCTGCACACAGAGGGTCCTAGGGGATGACAGAGTGGCTGATTAGAAAGAGCTTGGGTTTTGGATCACTAAGTAAGAACCATCCACCAGACACCTAAACATTTATTGTCTTAAATCACTGAGATTTGGGGTTGTGTGCCCTAGCAGACAGCATTACCCACCTTGACTAATGACCTATGCTCAATTTCTGGAATATGTCAAGATTGATCCTGCTTCTCCTATGAATGCTTTTCCCTGTTGGTCCTCACATGCTAGTCTCCATCTTAACCTCCAGGTCTTTACTTAGGTCATCACCCAGTCATGTAATGGAAATGTAATAGAACAGAATGGCTTCACATCTTGGTGAGTGTAAGGCCAAAAAGCACACCCAGGAGGTAAGAGTGGAGAAAGAGTTATTACCTGCTATGGGTAAGGAGAGCACTGGAGTTACTTCAGGGTTCACACTGAAGAAAAGAAGCATGACATTTTTTTTTTTTTTGTACCTGGAATTGAACCCAGGGAGCTCAATCACTAAGCCACATTATGCGTGGGATTTTATTTGGGGAGATTACACATATTAATATAGGAATGCACATTAGGTGGTGGGAAGATGGCTGGGCATGCTCAGTTTAAGGTCATGGTTCAAGAAAGAAAGATGGTGGACACAATCCTGGGCATGTTTGTTTCGAGATCATAGAGATTGTGTTCAAAAAGGAAAGATGGTGGACACAAACACTTCTGGGCATGCTCAGCTCCACGGTATGGGCCAAGTTTACTCTAGGTAGGTTGCCTAAAAGAATGAGTCTAGTCAGAGTAGCTCTGTGATCTTGGCTGGTTCTCCATAAGTTTTTCCAGAGTCTTAGCTGAAACAAAAGGAAAGACAACTCTGAAAGTTCTTAATTTCAGGAATTTTCCCCTGAAGGTGCTTCCCTCAGTTAGTGGTGAACACAACTATTGGCCTATATTTATGTTCATGTTGAGATTCACATGTGTTTTCCATTGTGTTTCCTCCTAGAATCTAAGCTCCCACAGGCATGAGTCAAGTCCTTCTAGTTCACCTTTCTGAATCCTTTGCCAAATGAAGTCTCTGACAAAAAGTAGTCATTCAACCACCATTAACTGATGGGTTCAATGAACGAATGAACCAATTATGTATGATTCAGTTTAATTCAATTCAGACATTTACTGGGCATCAACTTTGCAGAGGGCACTTGCACACAACGAATGCATTTTGTATTCAATTCTCGTTACGACCCCAGCGAGGAAGGTATGATTATTATTCTCACTTAAATACAAGAATCAAGAGGCACGGTCAGCAATCATAGCAGAGACCCTTCCCATATGGCATCGTCTGATGGCCATTGTTAGAGAAGTGTGCTTAGACAGACGTGAGGGAGGTGGGGAAGGAAATCCAGTACTGCCTTGGGCCATACCCAGTAGGCCAAGACTCTGCCCAGGAACTGTCTTCCTGCAGTCAGACAGCTCCCTGTCAATCTGAAAAAAATGGACAAGATCTATACTGGGAAATTTTCAAAACAGTGAAATTTGAGCAGGCACACTAAGCCATGTAACTGCCCCAAGCTGCAAGAACTGCCCCAACTATACGAAGAGAGAGGTTCCTCGACCTGGAAACCCAGGTCATTTCCTCTCTTGGAGACAGTCCCCTTAATGTCAGGATGTACTTCCATTTCACTAAATTAATCCTTTATACTTTTCTTTCTTTTCTTTTCTCTTTTTGGTACTGGGAATTGAACCCAGGGGGGCTCTATCACTAAGTTATATCCCCATGCCTTTTTTATTTTTATTATGAGACAGTATCTTGCTAAATTGTCCAGGCAGGCCTTGAACTTGCAATCTTCCTTCTCAGGCCCTCGAGTTCCTATGATTATGGTTGAGTCCCACCGTGTCTGACCCCTTAAGCCTTTTCTAACTCTCTCTTTCAGGCAGAAAAGAACCAAGGAAACCTCCACCCAGTAACACCATCATATTCCTGAAAGGTAGGTCTTATATCTCCATTTTTCAAAAGGAAAAACTTAGATTCCGACAAACCAAGTCCCTTTCCCAAGATCGCATAGCTAATGAGGTCATGGACCTGGGACTGGAAGAGAATACAGACCCAACTCTTTTATGGTGCTATTCTTCCTGCAGTCTGACAGCCTCATTAGAAATCCCCAAAGACTATCCTGACTGTGGGAGAATTGAAGGCATGGAATTTCTCCAGGGTCCTGTGAGCGTGGTTTGCAATGGAATTTTGTTTTAAATGCAGGACCCGTTCTCCTCCTCATGCCTAGGACTCACGGATGCCATTTTGCATCTTGGGCATGCAGCTCCGGTTTCATGTGTGAGCCTGGCTGGTCTGGCCACCATGGATAAGTTGGAGATGGGAGTGCCTAGGTTCATTTGGGGAGAGCAGCCGGAGCTGTTGATAGGCAGAGATAATCTGTGATTAATTATGGCAGATGAAAAGTAGGAAGCAATGAGTCTTTTCTGAGGGTTGGGCAAAATGAGGAGCCTCACTCTGCAAATGCATTTGGAGACGGCACAGTCCCTTCTGAAACCAGCAGTAAACTTTAATGGCTGCAAGTTCTGCGACTTGGTGGGCTTTGGATTGGATGGCACACAGAACTCATGAATTCTCTGGGGTGGGAGCTTAATTAGGGTGCAATTTTTCAATTATGGAACATTGAGCAAGCTTCTCCCCAGCCTCCACCCCAAGCCATCCCTCAATGGATACACTCCATTTGTCTATTTTCCTTTATTTCTTAATCATTTGATGATATGACAGCAATTATTTGTCATTTGGAAGAGAAAATTGTCACGGAGCTATTGTTTCCCTCTCGAAACCCCAGCTCTTCGGTGGCAATGGTTGCATTTGATAAATGTTTTGCATTCCTGCCGCCCTTCCCCCACTCCCACCCCGGGTTGGGGTGGCAACGGGAAAACATTAGCCAGTGACAGTGACGTGGGCCTGCTGATGGAAACGCCATTTGTGAAAAGGCACGGAAAGGAGCAGGCTCAAGTTGAAAAGAGCCACAGTCCAGAGCTCTGGGCCCACCCACAGTCACCTAGGTTGGGGCTGTGGGACATTTGCTTTGAGAAATTTGGTCATTTCTCAGAGCTAATAAGGCTGCTTCAGAGTCAGGAATGCGAAACCGAAATGGAGCAAAAAGAAAAAAGGCAAAGAAAAAAAGAAGCACGCCACCAGGAAAGGGAAAACTTAAATGCCTTTGTTTAAATGTCATGGTACTCTCAAAACCCTGTTCTCATATGTATGCGAGTTAATTAAATGGAAAAATGTCAAATTAGTTGCTTAAAATATTAATGGCAGGAATTATCCCAGATTCTAGAGCCCGCAGAGTAGAGGAAACTAACCTTTCAGGGCTTAACCCTTTTTTGGTCTTCCTCCTCTTGCAAAATTTGCATTTCTTTTATCCAGGAAAATCTCCATGCGTGTCCTTGGGCTTTGTAGGTTTCAGGATGGAAGCTCTCTGGGTGCTTGCACACTGGGATGCTCTGGTGACAGAGGACTCACTGGTGACGTTTTATTTCTACAACATCCACTTTGCCTAGGGGATTTGAGATCCCTGGAAAGGCCTAATAATCATGCATATGTCTGTTGTGGAATCCGGGTAATTTACCAATTTTTCTTTTGGTTTTCAAAGGGGATTTTGGTTTGAAAAGCTCATTAAAATGCAAAATTGAAATGATGACACAAAAAGCGTGTCCATGTCCTCATCATCTGCTGGGAGCCATTAGCCAAGTAGGTATGACAATTTCCTTGCCAGCGTACCCCATGTTGCTGACATGTTGCAGTGACATTGAATGTAGGTGACCTTGCTCAAGGACCAAGGCAGATTAGGGTGTTCCGGGTTTTAAGATAATCGTGTTTAGGGCGTTCCCAGTTTAGGTTCCAGGTTTAAGGTTTAAGATTATTCCTGCTGGGAATAGGGCGAATCCTGCTGCCTGAGTTCCCCTTGAGTTCTCACGGGATTCAGACAGTATATTTTGGAGATAGAAGCCCAGTGGAGGTGGATTTGGGCAGAGAATGTGGATTTCCCCAGAACGTGATTGTAGACGGCTGGTGTGAGTTCGGGAATAAAGAGTTGCTGTTTGAATCTACAAGCTGTGTGGTGGCTCGTGATTGTGTGCCCAGCCAGACTGCGGCATTTTGGCGTCCCGTGCGGGGAACTTCTGAATCTTAGAGGTAAGTGAAATTTCTCACCCTTGAGGAAGAGAGAAAGAATGGGTGAACATTTCAAAAAACAATGTGTTATTGTTTTGATTTATTTTATTTTTATTTCAAGTTGCCTGTTCCTAGAACTTTCTCAGGCAAACTGGGGAAAATGGTTGACTCAAGGTTTGAAGTTGTTCGCTTCCGAGGAAGAGAAATTGTTAGAGAAAGGAGGCACCCCAGTAAGACCAAGAACAGTTAAGGCATATGTTGATAAAATACAAAAATGTAGCAAATGGCTTTTTAAAGATGAGTTATTAAGTATATTAATGAGACCATCATGGTATCCTGTAGAAGGATTTTTCTTCAACAAGAAAGAGATGGCTAGTTCTGTTTACTACATTTGTCTAAGATCTTGGTTTTTACAGACATCTGATTAATTTACAAAGCTAAAGTGTTAAAATATCAACCACTAAATATAAAATCAAGTACTCTTACTTATTAAGTTCCATAAGGTAATATATTTAAACATTATGTGTGTTTTCATAAATTGGTAAATGGAAAAAGGTTTAATATTGCTTTGTGTCTGTGTCTTTGCTAAAACAAGGTTACTAAGTGTTAAGATTCTATCATGTGTAATTTATATACAAAGAGTAAAAAAATTTCAGTTGGGTTTCAATTATAGTATTATAGTATCATAAAAAACATGAAAGTCTTTCATCTTATTAAAGTGGAGTAATTTGTCTAAATCAGAAATTTTATAAGAGTTGTTTCAAAATGTGAATTTATAAAAAGGGTTAACGGTTAAAAAAGAGATAGAAAAAGATTCAAGATGTGGAAATATATTTTAATATAAAAGGTTAAAGGAAAAAGAAATGTTTCTAGATGAGATAATCTCTGTGTGGTAAAGTAAAAAGTTGTAAAATGCCATTTAAAAAGATTTTGAGGAAACTAGACTTACTTTAAAAGCTTGAGAAAGGAAGAAAGAAGAAAAAGGTATTTGTACATGGCAGATTGAGACAAAGCTTCTCAATGGAGTTAAAAAAAAAAAGCCTTTGGTTGAAGGGCAGCCATGTAAACTAACATTAAAGCGATTTAAACAGAATCTAAGCCTCGTTTAAAAGAGTGAAGTTGTAGGTGGTGAAAAAGTACATTTAAAAGTACAGTATAGATGATAATTAAAAGGCTTTAAAAGGTTAAATTGAAGGTGGTCGAGATACCTTCATGGCGGAAAAAAGATTGCTTTATTGCATCATTCGAAGCCTAGTTAATCTTAAAGGCATTACTTTAAAAAAATGGGAAGATAATAAGAAAAGATATTTAGATAAAGAAGATTAAAAATTTAAAGTGAAAAACTTTAAAGACAGAAGTATAGAAAGTTAAAAAGAAAAAAGATAAAGAAGATGTAGAAAGATAAAAAAGATGTAGGAAGACAAGAATTTTAAACCCACAAAATAGGAAAAAAAAAAAAACTAGGAGGAAAATAAGCAACTAAGGGTAAAAATACAAACCTTAGGAAAAAAAAAAACTAGAAGATAGAAATAAGATAGAAAATGGTTGAAAATGTCAAGTAAGGTATTACACAGATAGAAAATGCAAAAAGCTAAGACAACTATTAGATACAGACATACTTATTAAAGCAAAAAGAGGGAATTGGAAAGGGGTATATATCCCCCAAAGATAAACTTAAAATAACGCTTTTTACTCTAAACTTTTAAAATTTGGATTCATCAGGACTTAGTGCTGCGGAAAGACACATGTATCCAAAAAATGTACATAAGCCTAAGGTACTTTGGAAAGATATTCTAACAGGACAATGGAAAGGTTCTGACCCAGTGATTGTCTGGAGTCGGGGTTTTGTTTGTGTGTTTCCACAGGGAGAACAGCCGATTTGGATTCCAGAGAGATTAACTAAAACAGTTTCTACAGATCGAAAAGAAGATGATTTGACTCAAATCCATAACAGCTGATATCCAGAACTCCAGCTTGGCCATTCTTACATCTGCGACAGTGATTAACCAGGATGCTTTTTTCAATAGCTATTTTATTATTGCATTTTTCCACATCATAAGGTTCTATTTTTATTTTTTGAGCTCATACAAACCTAGGTTAATGTTTTTCTGATCAGTTTTATTTTTTGACTGTGGAGTTTTTAAACATTGCAATGGAGATTTCACCCAGGTAAAGCTACAAGGCCTTTACTATTTTCTTATGTGTTGTACGTTTGTGTACACTCTTGTGTTTTGTGTTGTATGTCTGTATGTGCGTATGTCCATATTTCTTATATGAGGAGCGCTCATGAAAAAATGGATCCGAATTATTATTTTTTTTATTCACGTGATTTAAATGGTTTAATTTAAATTAGGTAAACAGCTGTTAAGGATTGTTTTTAAAGGTGGTTAACAGATCTGTTTGTTTACTAGTTTAAATTAGGTAAAAGGCTGTTAAGGATTGTTTTTAAAGTAGGTTAACAGATCTGTTTGTTTACTTTCACCTTTCCTTTTCATTATATTTAATAATTCTTTTCAGGATAATGTCTCTTTAGCATCATTGCCAGAATTCCTATCTCCATCTCAGTGCCGGTGAAGAACTCAACAAGTAATGCTCAATCAAAGAGTTAACTTACTTTGGGAGGAAACGGATTTTGGGAGGAAATGGACATATTGATAGATTCCTCTGCTTTGAACTGCTTGCAGAACTTGCCTGGACTATGTAACTATCGTTTGGTGCAGCGAATTGTGGTAATGCTGGCATATCTTTGCTGATGGTGTCACTAGTGATGCAATTTTTCCTTGCCAGCGCACCCCATGTTAATTGTGGTAGTGCTGACATATCTTTGCTGATGGTGTCACCAGTGATGCAATTTTTCTCAAGGAGCCGTCAATTGGCTTGGTGTCGTGGCATTTCTGTATCCTCCTCCCTTCTGCTAGTGATGGTCTAAAATTTGGGGGCCAATGGCTTATGCTGGACCGGTAGTCAGTGACGGGTATGATCCAATTGCAGTGGTATCAACCTAAGACAGGAGGCTGACGCCTAAAGGTCAGTTTTCCGATGACGGGTAAGAACCATATGTTGAATTGGACAACCTACCAGGCACGGTCCTTAAGCCACATTGCTTGTTGTTTAATTAATCAGAAGGGGGGAGATGCTGGGAGCCATTAGCCAAGTAGGTATGACAATTTCCTTGCCAGCGTACCCCATGTTGCTGACATGTTGCAGTGACATTGAATGTAGGTGACCTTGCTCAAGGACCAAGGCAGATTAGGGTGTTCCGGGTTTTAAGATAATCGTGTTTAGGGCGTTCCCAGTTTAGGTTCCAGGTTTAAGGTTTAAGATTATTCCTGCTGGGAATAGGGCGAATCCTGCTGCCTGAGTTCCCCTTGAGTTCTCACGGGATTCAGACAGTATATTTTGGAGATAGAAGCCCAGTGGAGGTGGATTTGGGCAGAGAATGTGGATTTCCCCAGAACGTGATTGTAGACGGCTGGTGTGAGTTCGGGAATAAAGAGTTGCTGTTTGAATCTACAAGCTGTGTGGTGGCTCGTGATTGTGTGCCCAGCCAGACTGCGGCATTTGGAAATATATTTTAATATAAAAGGTTAAAGGAAAAATAAATGTTTCTAGATGAGATAATCTCTGTGTGGTAAAGTAAAAAGTTGTAAAATGCCATTTAAAAAGATTTTGAGGAAACTAGACTTACTTTAAAAGCTTGAGAAAGGAATAAAGAAGAAAAAGGTATTTGTACATGGCAGATTGAGAAAAAGCTTCTCAATGGAGTTAAAAAAAAAAGGCCTTTGGTTGAAGGGCAGCAGGATTCGCCCTATTCCCAGCAGGAATAATCTTAAACCTTAAACCTGGAACCTAAACTGGGAACGCCCTAAACACGATTATCTTAAAACCCGGAACACCCTAATCTGCCTTGGTCCTTGAGCAAGGTCACCTACATTCAATGTCACTGCAACATGTCAGCAACATGGGGTACGCTGGCAAGGAAATTGTCATACCTACTTGGCTAATGGCTCCCAGCAATCATCAAATGTTGATTCAGTATCATGGGATCCAAAAGCCTGAGCTACTTGAGTAAAATGGTGAGAAAATGGAGAGTCACACACTCAAGGGTATAGGGTCTGCTAGGGGCAGGCCCGGAGCTCCCAAGGTAGCAGCGTGTTAGTGTGTGGGGAAACCAAAACCCCAAGAAAACGGGGAGCATTCCCACAGCCACGTAGCTTTGTAGCTTTCGGGTGGTGAATCAGGCTTGCTTATTTATGCAACACTGGTCCTGCCTGCCTGCCCCAGGGACCTGTAGAGAGCCAGGGAGGACAGGGCAACTCAGTATGGGGCGGTGTCTGCCACATGCTTAGCTCAAGGAAGGGGAGGGGAGGGGAGGGGAGGGGAAGCATGGTGGTGGGTTTCAGGGAGGCCCTGCCTCCATCAGCCAAAGAGTGTTCCCTGTCCACCTCGGCAGCCAGCTGTGCATAAGACTTATCTTCTCCCCATTCAGGCAAAGGCCAGCAGGCAAGGAAGGCCTTTTATCAAGAAGTTGAGGCTGGTCCAGTGTGGAACAGAGATATCACAGGTAAATCAATCATCAGCTCAACCCTGGCAGGGAGACGCTTTCTCTGCTTGACAGGTTTGGCAAATGGGAGTGATTCTGGAGGAATGTGGGATCCTGCCACAGGCAATGGGGTATCTGTTTACTAATAACAACAGAACTAGTATAGAAATGCCAAGTAACAGGTGTAGGGCCCGACTTCCAAAAGGATTATCCACAGGAGGAAGGGGGTATTCTGAGATGCTCTGTGAAACAAACAAAATCCAAAAACAAAACAAAATAAACCCCAAATAATTTAGTATTTTAATCCTTTTTCATGTTAGTGGGTAGCTTGAAGCATGGTCCTTGAATATATCCATGTTTGAGTGCCTGAAACCTGTAACTGTTACTTTATATGGCTCTGCAGGTGTGACTGAGTGAAGCATCATGAGATGGAGAGATTATCCTGGATCACTCGGGGGCCCACTTTGAAAGGAAGGCAGAAGGGCAAATCAAGGAGCAGGTGATGTATCAGAAGGACAGATTAGAGTGAGGAGCTTTGAAGATGGAATACAGGGGGCCACTGGGAGCTCAGAAAGCAAGGCATCAGACTCTTTTCTGTAGACGCCAGAAGGCCCCAGCCCTGCCAACAGCTTAACTTGAGCCCAGGGGGAGCTAATTTTATGCCTCTGCCCTGAACTATAAGAAAACAAGTGGTGCTGTGTTAAGCCACTCAGTTTGTGATGGTTTGTTACAGCAGCCACGGGAAACTCATACATTCAGTTATTGATAAATAAAACTCTCCATGCTGTTTTCTCATTTCTGGCCCAGGAATCTGCTTCCAACTATGAGTTGGGTACAGTTTCCCCCTCCTGTTGCATTCTAGGACAGCAACTGCTAGAGGTGTGCTCTGCTGCGGGAACTCCAGAAGACCCTTGCTGTGCCTGTGCTGGCCACCCCCCTCTGCCTACCTTCCATTTGCCAAGGTGAGTCCCAGGACAACCCAGCACAAATGGGAACTAGATTTAGACACAGCCTACCCCAGCGAGAGGCCCTGCAAGGTCACATCACAAAGGACAGAGATATATGCTTCTAACGTGGGGGAAGGGCAGTAAAAAGTCAGTCAGGAACAATAACCAACCTGTCACACTTTTCTGGAGGAGTCGTAATGCACATAACACATAGGGAGCTCTGAGAAGCCCTGCAGGGCCTCAACCTGCCTGTTTAACACAGTTCCCGAAGCTTCTTGGAGCCCAGGGTCCGACTCCATGGTGTGCCATGAACGTTTTGAGAACTGCAGCCTCAGAAGTTGGGGGAGGAGAGGGCGAGGAACCAAGGGCCCTGAGGAGTGAGTTTGAGGAAGCAGATTGGGGCGGGGTCAGCAATGCCAGAGAGCAACTGCATGCGTCCTTGTGGGTGGAGGGGACTCCTTCTCATGAGTTTCGCACTCTTTCCTCTGTAGCAAAGAACTCAAAACGAATTGTGCCGTCTGGAAGAGCAGACACGGCTCTGCTGGGGTCCAGTCTTCACTGATCCCAGGGTCTCTTCAGAACCCCTCAGTCACAGAAGGGCTCCTGTGTCCCATCAGAAAGAAGAAGTGGGTGCAGCTGGGCGCCGGGCAATCCCAGAGGCCAGGGAGGCTGAGGAAGGAGGATCACAAGTTCAAAGCCAGCCTCAGCAATTTAGTGAGAACCTGTCTCTAAATAACATATAAAAAAGGGCTGGGGATGTGGCTCAGTGGTCAAATGCCCCTGGGTTCAATTCCTGGTACACCCATCTCCCCCCAAAAGAAGTGGGTGCGACAGGTCTCCCACTGAAGTCTGAGCCTCTCAAACGCACTTACAGAATTTCTCCTGGGATGGAGAGGTGAGCGTGCCCCCATTTTCCCGAGAACCTGGGGACTCTCTGGGGAATAGGAGGCAAATTCCCTGGGATGGGTGCCTGTCAGAGCCTCTCTCGGACGGGTGGCATCTCACGGACTGCAGGAGACACTTGGGAGCGATGAGGTGAAGCCTTTGACACCTGCAGGGTCCTCTGCTGGTCTGTGTAACAAGATGTCCCTGCTTCCTGCCTCCCATGCAAAGAGCTGCCACTGTGCGGGGAGGGCTGGCCACTCTGGGGAAGGGTGACTTATTGGACGCCCATAATTAGCCTATTTCCATGTAACACATTTTAACAGAGGCCATTACAGGCTAATAAAAGGAAACAATAGTGCCATAAATCCCACAATCAATAGAGGGAAAGCAGCGAGGCTGGGAGCCCGCTTCCTCTGAAGGACCCAGAGGGCTTCAGCAATGAAATGTCCCTTGAAACTGAAAGATAAGGGGAAAGCGGATTCGCCAGCTCACTCGCTCGCTCACTCATTCAGCAGATCTTTGGAGGCACAGACCAGGTTCCAGGCTGTCCTCCAAACTCCTAGGAGAGAGATCAAAGCTCAGGATAGCGAAGGAGAAAGACACAAGGACAGAAATGGCACCCTGCGGTGTGACGGACATTATGGATAACAGCTAAGGGAGCCCAGGCTTCTGAGAGGCACAATGTCCAAAGGGGTTTTGGAGGATCAATAGGAGTTTTCTGGGTAAAGGAGAGAGCTGGGGAGGCTGATGCTAAGAGAAGAAAGGGCACATGGAACACTCAGAGTTAGGAATGAGCCTGGTGAGTCTGGGAACAAGCTGCTACAGACCCGTGCGGCTGCAGAGGCAGGGTGGGGAGGCGCCCTCTTTGCAAGCTGGAATTTGGGTTCTTTTAAAGGCCAGAGAGGCTGGTTGGAAGGCAGTTCCTAGAGGAGGTGCTGCCTCAGAGGAGACTGGGGACGAGGAAGCCCCTCATCTCAGGCACTCGTCTCGGGCCTCAGCCTGCCTCCCCCTTGATAATGACCAGAAACCTCACAAGTCCACACGTTGCACCAAGAGAATGAGATCCTTAGTCTTGTGGTCACCGTGGGCCACACTTCATCTCTCTGAATCCCAGTTGCTTTATAGGAAGTGAATTCTCCTCAGTAACTCCTCCATTCAAACATCTAACCAGTCACCAAGGCCCACTGATTTCACATACCTAGTGTGTTTCCTTCCTTTTAGTAGAGGCCACCAGCCTATCTCACCTTGAAACTGTCAGAGTCCCTTGCTTCTCATGGCCTCTGTGACAGGGGTCCATTGAGAGCCCACTACAGATATTTAGATTTTTGAGGCACAAACAACTTTTGCATATTATTCTTTGGTGGAAACAACCCAATTGTCCCTCAGCTGGTGAATGGATAAACAAACTGTGGTATGTCCATTCAATGGAATATTACTTAGTCATGAAAATCAGTGAGGTCCTTATACAGGTACAACATAAAAGGACCTTGAAAATATTATGCCAAGTAAAATAGTCAGACACAAGTGGCCAATTATTAACAATTCCATTTATATGAAGTGCTCAGAATAAATACATCCATAGTGGTCGCTTAGGGCTGGGGAGGGATGACAACATAGGTGGATGATGGCTACAAGGTATAGGGCTTCTTTTTGAAGGAATGAGGATGTTCTAAAATTAACCCATGGTGGTGATTGCACAACCCCCTGAGTACTGTAAAAGCCATTGAATCGTATACTTTTTAATGGCTGAGTTATATGTGAATTGTATCTCAATAAAGCTGTAGTTGTTTCTAAAAAGATAAAAATTATTTTTAATTCACAGGTGGTATGAAAGCCATCATAGGCTGGATTTGATCCCTGGGCCATGGTTTGGTGATCTGGAATCTACACTGCTGCCAAAATGAACTGTCTAAATGCAAATCTGCTCTTGCCACTCCCCTGCCAGGAAGCCTTTGGTGGTTCCTCATTATGCCCAGGATAAAATATGAACCACTTGGCTGTCTTTCAAGGTCTTCCTCCATGTCCCCATATGGTCTTTCTGGGTTCATGTTCTCTGCACCTCTCTGTACCATCACATAGACAAATGATCATATATTTGGTTCCCTTTGACTTCGTTTCTGCTTACTCTCTACCCTCAGTGTTTTGGAAAGTTCTTGATCATGTCTCAAACTCTTTCTCTTTTTCCCTTCCTCTGTGGACTCTTCCCCAGTCCCCCTGGAAGATGAATCAATACTATGGTGCTTCTTGTTGTCTTGTATTATCTGTTTGTTTATCTATACATCCCCATGAGATCGGGGGTTCCTGAGCAGCCAAGAAGCAGAGACTGTGCCTTTTCTTCTTGGTGCAACTAGTACTTGGTGCCAATGCCTGGCATGAAGTTAGCCTCCAGGAACTGCATTCTGAAGAGTCGAGGCCCAAGGAGAAGCAGACCAGCTAAGCCATATCAGAGAAATTCAGCAACATCCCATGCTGAACAGCCTCTGAGAGCATCCCCCGTATTCCAAGCCCCTTGCTTTCTATCCTAAAACCCAGGTCCAGAGAGGGTAACTTACTTGCTTGGTGTCACCCAGCTATTAGGGGCTGGGCCTATCTGGAGTCTGAGGCTCCAACCCCAATCTGGGGGCTCTTGTGGCTCCTCTCCATGTCTTTCTGCACCCCCAACAGCAACACTGGGAGATCTGACCGTTTGCCTCAGCCGGGTTTTATAGCCATGTCCCTGGCCTGGCTAAGCTGAACATCCCAAGGGGCAGCAGCACGCAGTCCTCATCCCTTCTTCTCTGGCCACTCTTGAGCTCCTGAAAAGGGGACAGCCACCTCAGGAGTGACCCAAGGAGAAGCCAGAACTTCTGGGCATCACTGGCTTCAGGAATGGAGCATGGCCCGGCTGGACCCCACTGGAGCAGGGGTGGGGTTCTGGCCTGGATCCCAGGGTTGGAGTGACCGCCTGAACACCACGTGTGCTTTTCCTATGCCTGAGGACACCCCAGGCTGACTGGGGTTTTCCCTTTCCTTTGGGGTCTGTGTGTGTGTGTGTGTGTGTGTGTGTGCGCGCGCCTGTGTGTAAATAGAGAGAGGTATTTCTGAGCCAGTTGCAAGATCAAGATCTTTAGAAGTCTGCTGAATAATTCAAGAAGACCTGGGCTTTCACTCAGGCTCATTTCTTCCACACAAACGCACACGTGGTCAGTTTTTATCTCTGCTGCCTGCAGCTGAGCCCCTACTATGCGCCGGACACTTAATCCCTTAACGCCTCACAGCAACTCTTTGCAGTCGCTGGTGGAACAGTCCTTATTTTAAGATGAGGAAGCCTTGCTGAAACTCACCACGTGCCTAAGGCCCTCGGGCGGCTGTGGTGGAGCCTCAACCAGACTCAGGAGTTTACAAAAGTCTAGCCTTTGTTCCGGCCCCACTGGCCTTTTGCCCTCCTGTCCTCGGGGTAGGAGGGCTCCTTCGGACCAGGCACCAGGTTATGGCAATGACTCACCTGCAGTCTTCCCTTCGTAGTGCTCCGTCCGTGTCTACTCAGTGCTCTCTGCCTCCCAGCCTCGCGGACAGCTTTTCTAAAACGGATCAAACTCCAAGCTACTTTACGGGTCCAGTCATCTTTTTTCTTTTTGGTACCAGGGATTGAGCCCAGGGGTGCTTTACCACTGAGCCACATCCCCAGTACTTTTTAAAATTTTATTTAGAGACAGGGTCTCACTGAGTTGCCCAGGGCCTCACTAAGTTGCTGAGGCTGGCTTTGAACTCACGATCCTCCTGACTCAGCCTCCCAAGCTACTGGGATTACAGGCGTGCACCACCTCATGTTTTCTCTTGATTCTCTGACTTCTGAAGCTTAGAGATTGTTCCAATGTCTGTCGTTTAGCAGAGGGAGAAATCAAGATCCTGGGAGGTCAAGCAGCAAACCCAAACTTGCACTGAGATTAGAGTCATATCGAAGGCTGGAAATGGCAGGCTTTGCTGTGGGGTGTGGCTGCAGTTTGAGGGGCCATTTGTCTTTTCCTGTGTGTCTGCAAGTGGAAGAGTGAGAACAGTAGCTCTCCATGAAACAGGCAGGCTGATGCCAGCTCCTGTGAGGAGGCACATCCTTATGCTCGGTGCTTTCAGAATCGTGGAAGATTTCCTGGAGTGGTAGTGAGCTCCCCGTGGCAGGAGAATGACCAGCAGAGGCTGCAGAAGCCCCCAAGGGCTGCAGAGCATGGATCCGATTGAAGGGGATTGATGGCACTGGTGCCAACCCAAAGAGCCATGACCTCAGGGGCTAAGACTCCTGCTTCCCGTCTTGGAGAAAAGGGGAGCGGGGAGGCAGGGAGTGACTTTCAATGAGGGAAAAACCTTCTGCTCAAAAAGGTCTCGTTATTGGCCATCAACCCCCGTTTCTGTGAAACGCAGGTCTAGGTTTCTTGCTTTCCCCCGAGCACCCCCAGGAGGTGTCCAACTAGATGAAAGGCCTCTGCACTTAGAGGTTGTTACGGAACCTTCACTGGGGAACTGAGTCTAGGAAATGGGTGGGGATTGTCCCAGACGCTCAGCTGGAATTGATGGTGCAGATAAAAGTACAGGAAATGGCCAGTGGCTCAATTCTGGGCAGCAGCCCGGACATCTCCACAGACCAAGGGCTACAGACCTCAGGAAACGGCATCCCTGAACCTTGGAGAGGGGTCCAGCCGGTCTCTTCCAGTAGAGATCTGCCTTCATGGCTGCCTCCTCCTAGCCGCGTTCAGGGACACTTCGCTTACTATCTCTGAGTGGGTTTCTGCATCTGTGCCATGGAGACAGTGAGTCCTCCCTCAAGAGGTTATCAGTACTTGCTGAGAGCAGGAATATGATGTTCCTAAATAAAGCTGGGGAAGGAAGTGGTTTGAGCCCCACATCTTGATTTACTGAGTGGGGTAGTCACCCTTCACAGTTTCTTCCTCAGCCTGGGGCCAGCCCAGACTGGATGTGGTTTCCTGTGTGTGTGTGTGTGTGTGTGTGCGCGCGCGCGTGTGTGCATGTGTTACCTGCCTTTCACTGGCCCTGAGGTTCATGTCCACTATGATGAGCTCAGAACTCTCTCTCAGACCTGCTCAACATGCCCCAAAGAGATAGCAAGACACTTGGGCGGAAAACAGTGGGTGCCAAGGGCACACCGCTCTCCTAGGGTGGGAGTGGGAAGAGGGTATTGCTCCTGGAACACCAGATAATGATGCAAGCACAGATAATAAAACAACACACATAATTAGGATTCTCTTCATTGAAAGTTTTTCTCCCACCGATTTTCTGAAATCTTTGATGTCTGATGCTACCTCTATTTTGGAATCTGTGATAGGTCCATATCTGATGGAGCAGCCCGTCAACTAGTTATTTTCTTTAAGTATCTCTAGGTCTTCTCAAAGACAACCTTCCCGCCAGCCTGTCTGCCACAGGAAGTTTTGTGAATCACTGAACCCCTGCTTCCAAGTCAGGCTATTCTTCAGGAGGTGGGAACCCGGGGGTCAAGCTGTGGCCCTCACCCTTCCAGGGGAGCAATCCTTCCTCACAGAGTTGGTTCAAGGCATGAGGGGACATCGGGCAGTGGAAGAGCTCTGTGAAAGCTGGCCCAGTCTCTTCTGGTTGGTGTTTGCATGAGTGAACTCCACAGTGACAGTGGACAGCCTCTGTATCAATGTTGTGCTGGGCTTGGTGACTCAGAGATAAACAGTACCTAACTCTGCCCCCAGGAGCCCACAGCCTGTTCTTGTTTCTGGAAGCAGACTTGGATTCTGTGGGCCTTCTATGCCCACTTGGTTTTCTGGGCACAGTCTGCTCCCCTGTGACTTTGAGTAAGGAGTTCTTCCCAGGCTTCCCTCCCCCGGCCTCCCAGTGCCCCACCCCCACGTGCTCAGTCTGTGGGAGTGAGAATGGGAGGGGCCTCCATTCACCCCATCCAGGAGGCAACTGAGTCCAGAGAGGCTCAGAGGGTGGTCTGAATTGTCCCCAAGATCAATAGCAAGGTGGCACCATGCAAGCCCAGGTCTCTTGCCTATTTTTTTTAAAAGTCTTTCCAAGAGTTTATGTACATTTATTTTTAATTGGAACATATAGTATAATGATTTCATAACAAATAAATGACTCAGCCATAAAAGGGAAAAAAGGAGGAATGGGTATCATTTGGACTACATTATTTGATCTACAAACATGCAGGTTTTATTATTGGAAAGAAAAATCTCTGTGGTGTTTCTTCACTGCAGCTGGGAATGCACTGAGGACCGTTGCACACCTCGATTGGAAAGAAAACAGCAAAACAAGACCCAGAGAATAGTTGATGAAGTTATCTGATGGATGATACAAGGACCGCTCAGCGCCATGCCAAGGTGGGTGGACAGTGGCTGGAGAAGGGGCTGTCGGTTCTCGTTGTACAGGTCACCAATTTGCTGACTTATGAAAGGGTGACACCAATTTGCTGACTTATGCGCACTGCCAGGACCTGGAGGGCACATCACAGGTGTGCGTCAAGTGCACACACGACACCACGTACGCACATGTCTCACAGGTACGCACGCACGTAGCGTGTGTGCCCAGCCCTGGTGTCGCCTGTACCCAGAGCAGCACAGCACTGCTAAGTTCAAGGGCCTCTGGCTGAGAGGAGGCAGGCTGACTCAGCTATCTTGAGGGAAGGCATCTTAGGAAGGGCCCTTCCCAGCCCTGTAGACTAAGCCTAAAGGTGCCAGAGCCTGGAACACTGCTCTTTGTCACCTGGCACCCACACAGGCCGAGGCAGGTCCAACTTACTGTCTGGACTGGGCCTTCCCACCCTTCATCAAGGGAAGACGTGTGGTCTTGGCCCTTGGATTTTTCCCAAAGACTGTCTCACTGAGTTCTTCCATGGAGGACACTAACTGGAGACCCAGGAGCCTTCTGTGGCCTGCACACAGGTTTTATTTGACCAAAATATTTTTCAATACTTTCAGTAGCTGCCCGTGTTGAAACATGAGGCATTTTCACATGTTAAAAAAAAAAAAAAAAAGCAACCCACAA